ACAGTGCCGAGAAAGAGCGGTGGTCCAATTAAAACAGGCAGCTTAATAGGCTGGAACATTGCCACCTCATCCACACACACACACACACACAACGCTCCTGCAGTAAGTGAGCGGACAAGTACTGCTGTCATATCTGTGACAGGTGTTTGCTTAAGACAAAAGGACAAATCAACAGCAGCAAATGCAAGCGGGCAAAGCGGAAGACACCAAAACAAAATCACTCCTGCAAGCTTAACACTCAGAACAATATAATGACGGCTCCCACAGGACTTATCATTTTACCAGCACATTGTTATTCCCTTCCATAGAAAATCATCCCTGCCTTTTGTTCTGACATGGATTGTAAATTCAGCGTGAAGAGGGCAAGAAGGAGACATGCTAACAGAATGCACTGTATGTACAGAGAGCTGCTGGGTGACGCCTGACTGAAAGGGATGACTATGCATATTGTCATGGTCCTGTGTCATTTACTGCAGAGCTCACAGCCTCTGCCAGCACATCACAGAAAACTGCGTTTTAGTGAAGAAAGCCTTACATCACCGCACTACTGGGCGACTGCGTGCTGCTGTAAATGAGTGGTCTTTTGTGTTTGCAGAAAACAATGCTCTGTCTGCACTGGCACGCTATGTTTAAAGCATTCCTCTGTTTCAGACGCCTTGCCACACCACATTAATTACACATTTTCTTTAAGCATCTCATTACTCGTTAAATAATCATGAGCTTCCTTTCTAACTGGCCTTCTGGATGTTACACAGAGCAGGCCTTGAAAGCAGATTTGTGTCCTGAGACTTGTATTTTTTAACAAAACAAAGATAACAGTCATAAAGTGCCATCACCAAATCCTCACTTTAAAAAAAAAGTAAAATAATTAGACCTTATTCACAACAACTTCTTTAACTCCTTAAAACTTGAAATGTCCTCTGATAATTACAGCTTTGAAACTCAAGCAGAATGTTCAATATTTATTCTAATAAGGCAAACATTCATTATGTAGATAATGTACAAAGCGTGGAGAAATACCTCATTTACATTTTCAGTTATTAAACAAACACACTTATCTACAATGACTTCCAGCAAATGCATTCAAAGACTGAAACAACCTCACGTAGAGTTGGTTAAAGTTTAAAAGCTTTATTAATAGCGGAATAAACAAAAACAAAACTGTCCTCAGATAAGTGTCAATTTGCAACCGCAAGTGATCAACACTTTTTGAATTTGCTCCTTTCCTCCTGTCTGTCATAATGAACAGTACCATTGCTTTTCTGTATTGTATGATACACCCTAAATCTTCTTCAGTTATAGAACAAAGCTTTTGTGTCAAAACTGAACATTTCGTGACAAAGCTTATTCAGAATTAATTTGTCTCTCTGCACGTTAACCTTTAAGACATGAGACCAATAAAAGGAAACCAAGTCAAACATACCCAGACAAGATTTCAAACCGACAGTGCATGTCTTATCACAGAATATAAGATGTAACATTTCTTACATGTATTCTCTAATCCTGATCTTTTTTGCTCGAACATTATACAGTCATTTCATATCCTGTGCGTCAGGGAAAGAGACCATCTGCCGCGCTACGAGTATAGTTCCAACATGAAAGATGAGGATAACATAATTAAAACATTCACCTTTATCTTTATTCTTCTTATGTTCACATGTAGGAGAAACTTCCTTTTCAGGCTTTATTCTAGCTTACAAACATTAACAAATGCTTTCTGATGTTTCATTTCTGAAGCTTTTTTTCTAAATTGGTATCGTTCTTATTATATTCAGACTGAGTATTGAACCATGAAATTAGTTTAGGTGCCTCAAAAATGTGAGATGTTAATAACTGAGCCACAGTATAAGGCAGATCTTCACTTAAGTGATGAAACTGCTACCTGTCTTAATGTACAGCAACAATTATGAAGTGGACTATTTATTGAAATGACCAAAAAAGTTAAGAATTGTATGGGAATAAAATGAACTTTTGCATAAAAACAAACTCCATGTCCTGGATGCACTGCATTATTCAAGAAATGACCACCTTGGGAGCCGAAGAACTGAAAACACATTCAAATGAACTGCTAATTAATTCTGTATATTTGTCACCAGCACACATCTCTCATAGCACAGTACAGATCTGTACTGGTTTTTCTGACAAACACAAAAATCTCACATCAATAAATGAATGATAAAAAAAACCTTCACTGCAACGCTTAAAGGTTGGTAAAAAAACAAAACAGCTGCCTTTTTTTTTTTTAAGTCAACATGTCCACCCCAAACGAATGTTGTTTCATTGTCACTCCATCCTCGATGAAATACAGCTGTTATGATGATGACAGATAGCATGACAGACGGACATCGGATGAACAAACAGAACAAGACAGTTGAACAATTAGCAGCCGTCCCAGCATGCATCTGTTAGAGCCCCGTTAGGGAAGTCATTTTCCTGGCTGATAATCAGAACTAGAAGGAAAACAAATCTTTGCTCTACGGTCAGTCAGTAAGGCTGCTAATAATTTCTTTGACGACGGCTGTAGAAAGATGCCACGGGTCACTAAACATACTGCAGACTAAAGCGCAAAACATACTGCCACCGTGGCATGTTACATGACATGTGTCATGTGACATGCCATGGTGCTGCACGTCAACAGGGCTACAAGGGGCAGAGATTGAGGGCAGGATGATATGTTTTGTAGTTGCCTGTTTCTTTGTTTATAACAGACAGCATCTGTGTGTTATTTACTTATTTGAGTCCATCTTCACACCTACAGTACAGTAAAGCCTGCCAGGCGAAGTGTTTTTAAGACATATACAGTTAGGATGCAGAGCCCTGAGGAGGCTCTCCTCCTCGATTATGACAACCACAAAAGAAGTCGCTAGCAAAAGAGGAAGTACATCAAAAATGCTGCTTTTCATAAGACATCTACACTGGATAATAGGACGAGGTGCAACTGTAACTGGGCTCTGCGTTTAGTGTAGCCTCACCACTGTGTGTGTGGGTTTACCCAGAAGAAAATAGGCCTGTCGTGACGTGCGTCATATGGTGGTAGCGTGTTTTGCACTCGAAGTGATGCTTCACTCAAAACCTATTTTTGAATATCAAACACTCAGCCCTGTAGGCTCGTAGATGGCACAGTGGCTGCAGCCTGCTTGAAATCCTGTCAATTGCAATGGATTCCAATAGCAACCAGTTTTTACTTGGATAAATGCCCAATAAAGCTCTTATCGAAGCATAATCCACTTCTGCACTGGCCAACTTTATCATCAGTACTCTAAAAATACTTGTGTGTTGGTCTGCAGGGTGTGTTTGATGCTCAAAGGATTTTAGGTGGAGCACTTTAACCCTTCATTTTCAAGGTATACTGACATGAATGTTAGACAATCTACAGTACTATGAGATGACAGACACACTATAGCTCAGCTTTAATCCTCATGCTGTGATGTAAAGTTTGAAATGATCAGGCAACAGCGACACAGAAATGGCGTTTGTCGTTTATACAGTTGTTAACTAAATTGTCATGTGATCTCATGAGATAAGCTCCACACACTTGCTATCACGAGATCAGTGTGACATCTTTCAGGCTATATTTGGGAGGCATGCAGCAGTCGAATCAATTCCATGAACTCTGATGAGATCATTCCTTGGGGCTTTCAAGAAACAGCTGGGTAATTTTAAATTAAAAAAAAAGAGGATTATTTGATTACACTAAGGGTTTTTGTCAGATGTGGAGGCATACTTTGCAACACTACTCCAGTACATTTCTGTGCCACGCGGATTTCCTACCTGATAGATCCTGTTTAGATGTGCCTGTAGGAAGAAAATGTACTGCATGTAATGGACTGGATCCAGAATTCCTCCATGAACTACAGTTTACCTCTGAAGCTGAGAGGTAATGAGGGGGAAATGCTACGACCTCGAAAGAGCAGGTCATGAGGGCGATATATGAACAGAACACCAATCAGGTATTCATTATTCTGATGGTTTGCACATGGGATGATGTAGAAGACATTACCAAAAGGGAATTGTATCAAGGACGTAATGGTTACTAAAGAAGTTAGCTCAAAACAAATGTAAAAGATGATTGCAGAATATCCATAGATAAACATACTAAACACTTTTCAATCCCCAGCATGAGCAGAATAATGAGAATGGGGATTGAAAATGCTAAACAAACACTTCATCATCCAAGTGCTAGCAAATACTTTACAATTAGAAGCGGACATAGTTTAATTTTTGTCTCAAATTGCATGCTTTTTTTGGGGAATGTTATAATTGGGTTTCTGATGCAGATTCTCTTGACATTTGGGAAAACTGATTGGGTTACTCCACATTACTCTAGCTAATTACATGAGATCCTCTGGGCCATCTAGAAGGAGCTGCTAATTCAAGAGAAATAATCAGCAGTACGTAATCTTGTTGAGGAAACTGCTGAAGTCCCCCACCTGCGCACAATCAATATACCTCTTGAATTTCGGTTAAAGGTATTCAATTCGTCTCCTTGGGACACCGATGTCCCGCAGGCTCGTGTTCCTCCCTGGTGATTAGTAGTCAATGTTTCCCAATTATACATCACAGGTCAATGCATTATAAAAGGTACTATAGTTAAGTCAGTGCAGAACATGCGTTTCCTTTTGTAGCATATATTCAAACTTAACAATATGAAAGTATTGCAAGTCAAATAAATGTTGTACATTTATGTGAAAGTTCATTATTTTCTAAACTCAATACACCTCTTTCACCTGGCATTTATTTGATTTTTTTAGCATTTAACAAGTGGTCTCGTATCTTATTTCCCTAGTGTGTACATGTTAGTATTGAAAAATCATAATTTCAGATATTCTTTAAAGTATGCAACTGGGAAACAGATAATATCAGCGTATTTTGCACCAAGTTTTGTTCATTCACTCCAGGAGGAAAAGAGCTTGCAGGACATCGGCCCTAAAGGAGCAGAACTGATTACTTAAGATTAAGATATTGAGATATGGACATCAATACAGCTTTTATGATATTACCTGCTCTCCTTCAGTGAAGACGCGCTCACCGAAACTCCAGCTGATGGTGGGAGTGGGGTCTCCCAACGCCTCGCAGGTCAGAGTTACCTGCTCCTCCATCTCAGAAGTGCTCTGGTTCACGATGTACGTGATCTTAGGTTTTACTGTGAACACAGACAAAAAGTAGTCACAATGACACTATCATAAAAAGACAAGCCAGGTGGTTTGGAAGCAAGTACAAAAAGGTAAAAGAGAAACTCTGAGGATGCGTGATGAGTTGAAAGGAAGGAGGAGGATCAGAAGCTTGAAAAGACTGTATTTTCTTTTCAAGTCTCAACAGTGGCAAAGCTGCGATTACAGTGTTTGGATCCAAACTTAAATCATGTAACAATTTCTTGAGCCTATCTCAAAAGGAGCCGGTCTTCATTTTTTGTTTCCTTTTGAAAGAACTGTCACGTTATAGCACACCTGAGCTAACCTGAAAGCACAGCATGTTGCCAAAAATGTGGCATGTGCAGAGCGAAGCAAATTCAAGTGCTCCTCCTGAAGCGAGAGGGTGAGCATCACTCTGTGAGCATCACTTTATTCTATCCACCTCAGAAAGGTAGAATGCATGGATTGAGCAATGCACTTGTACTTTAAAATGTTAGCCCATTCAATAGAGTAAATACTGTATAACTTACAACATTCACCACAATTGTAACCTTGCTTTGAATGCCTTCATCTCAAGTGATATTTATAAAAGAAAAAGAAAAAGCGATGCTATTTAAAACACACTTTTCTCCAAAACTAAGATGAGTTCAGAGCTCTTTGAGGCCCAAACTTGATCAGAATTGAAAATGTTTTATGTAAAGCAAATGGCAGTTGGGAGGTTGTTTGCATGAGTTGCCTGCTCTCTCAATCAATGTGATCAAAACACACCCACCTAGACCAGATGAAGATGAAGATGGGTTTTGAGTGTTAAAACTCTTGATAAATAACACTTAGAGAGTAATTAAATATTCAGTGTAATTTATCTTTAGATGGCATAATACAGGACTGTCTGTGATGGACCTTCAGCAGCACAAAGCCAAAAGAGAAAGCCAAAGCCTGACCGGGGGACACGGGCGGGGGAGTTCAAGGGGAGAGACAGGAGGCAAAGATACTGCATGAGGCACATTTGAGTTAAAAAAACAACGGAGTGTTGGCATGCTTCCATCTATCTCCATTATCACACAGAAGTCACATTTCACACATAGCTGGGTAAAAAGAATATTAAGTATTGAAAGAAGTTACTCTAAATGCACCAAAAACCCTAAAACACAAGGCGGTCACTCTGAAGAGGATTTGAATAACATGAGGAAATAATAGTACTAGAAATAGTTTATTGTGGCTGTAAATATAAATCAGGTTGGGGTGAAAATGACCCACGCACACACTCCGGACAGGATTATAGTCAGTGACCAGTCACTTTAAAATGAGTGTGAGTTAGGCTGAGGAATGCTCTAACATTACCCTTTATTGTTGCTTATTTATTAAGAAATGAGGAATATGTCGTATTTCAGACCACATTTAAGGGGCTTTAAAGGCCAATTGTGCTCCATGCATCTGTGTTTTATATGAAGATATATCTGATCAGACTTGACAGGTACTAAACATTTCAGAACTCCAATCAGCATACAGTAGGGGAGACACACAAATTAACACAGCTTTCATATTCAGATGTGGCAGGGTACTAGGAAAAGCATGATTACATATTTTCCTACTTTGATGTAAGTAGACCAGAGCTTTGTGAGTGCGAGAAAATCTTCGAGTTAATGAGCTAAATAGTGCTAAAGAGGTAAACACTGTGCTTTGAAGGCTGTCTTGAGTAATTGTATGATTATCGTTTAGCTCTAAAAAAAAACACCTCCGTTGTGTGGGAAACTGAACCAGATAACTCATAGTACATTGAATTGGCTACATGCACTGATATTGTGCTGTTGTGATTTAAACTATGGTTGTTACCTGACACAATAAAAACAACAATAACAACCTCGTGGGCAAAAGGGAAGAAGAAAGAAAAATACTTCATAGATTTCAGATGATCTTATCCCACTTGGCCAGTTCTCAGGATCCTTAAGCATCCTCTATACATGAAACAACCACAACCCACACTGAAACAACACCTCATGTTGTATCCCTTTGAAAAGAGACACATAACCATACTATTGTTCTTCCCCCACCTACATACTCTTGTACTTATTCCCACACACTTGGAACATTTGATATTGTCACTTTAGTTCATGTATGGGTGTATATGTAGCGTCTTACCAAACACTCTCAGACTGAGTTCCTGGTCGCTATCCCCAGCCTTATTCCTAGCGATGCAGGTGTACTCTCCTTCATCCAGCTTAGTTACTTCCATTAATGTCATTTCTGAGCCGTCCTCATTAAAGCTGTACTTCTCTCCTGCCTCCAGGTCCACATTGTTCCTGTGAAAAACATAAGGGTTTATCTATCCACACAACAACACACATCCTTTCTAAACGTGCACCATTTAACAAGATGTTTCTTTAACAAGACAGCTGTTTTCCTAATCATGACCCTTACATCTTTTGAACACAAATATGTAGTTTCTATACATATATATAGTATTTATACCGTCAAATGACATTAGATAGATAAAGTGGGTAAGTAGAAGTGCAGCGAAGAAAAAAAGAACCGCTGAAATCAATGTTTTTCTTTTGACATTTGGTGTTAAGAGAACATTCAAACAGAAAAGTGTGTTTTTTCATTTTGTCACAGTGTAGTGTGAACTGTTTGTCCCTGTTGGATACAATGTAAAGGAGATAATGTTCCCTGGCCTCAAACTGTCTGCGATCTCTCGTTCTGGCTTTAAAAACAGCTCTTTTAACAAGTAGCAGGTGCTCTAGCTGCATAAGTATAAAACATGATTTCCAGGGTGACAAAATACAAAAAAAAAGCCAACAGTATCTCCTTGGCTGTTCGCACTTTTTGCCTCCCCCCAGTCTAAGTCGTCTGTACACGCCTAACAGCTGTCTATGAAACGAGAGAAACAGGAACAGTTTAACAAAGCAGGAAGCTATCAATGGCTGCATTCAGACACACAGAATAGTGGCTATTGATGACATTCCAGTCTTCAGGTTTCACTGTTTACGTGCACCTTTTATACTCTTTGATTAAGTATCCCATTGCAATGAATAAACCAGTTAGTACCATATCCCTAATATCCTAGAGTTTCCACTGAAGAGGGTGTGTTACTGTGTGGACATTTAGCTGACAGTGTGTAGCCTAAAGTATATAAGATAAGATCATAAGATAAGAGGCACTTTATTGATCCCAAATTGAGACCTTTTTGCGTTGCAGCAGCATAAAAAACACAAAACAAAACAAGGCTTTGCACAAAAGTAGAAATTAAAGAGTAGAAATAAAAGATACTAGAATTTAAACGTTTTAAAATAGAATTAAAACAGCATTAAAAAGTTGAAAATCTACAGTGAAGATAAAACATCTATAAACTCTGACAATTAAACACTATTGAAGGCTTTAGACACAATATAATGCAGGATATTATTTACATCAAGATTGTAGGGAATGGAATATTAAATTAAATATAAATGTAAAATGTACAGTGTGTAATTAAATGTAAATGTAAAATGTACAGTGTGTAATTACATGTAAATGTAAAATGTACAGTGTGTAATTAAATGTAAATGTAAAATGTACAGTGTGTAATTAAATATAAATGTAAAATGTACAGTGTGTAATTAAATATAAATGTACAGTGTGTAATATATATTTTCGGTTCTGTAATATCATTTTCTTCACATCCTTTTATAATATATAATAGAGTTCCCAATGTTTCATACTGATATAAATGATGCAGAGTAATTAAGGTTAAGAATGACTGATGATGAGCGAAACCAAACTTTTCCTGCTGCCAACATTGTTGTTTACATTATGAGGGTCATGTCCCAGCCTCTGACAGTCTGCTGCAGTGCATTTGTCTCTCCAGTTAGCAGCAGAGTTTTACCTTGTCCATGTCACCATGGGTTCAGGATAGCCATCAACAGCACAAGTCAGCATGGCGGGCTGCCCGACATCTGCTGTAGCATTCACCTCTGACTGCCATACCCTGATGGTCGGGAGCACTGAGACACACAGAGATGGATAAATAATGAAAAACACAGAATGAAAAATATATTGGCAGATACAGAAGCAGGTAGCGACATAGATAAAAAAGAAGGGGGTTGGAGACAGAAGCTGTGACAAATTCAGAGCACTTATTTTAGGCGTCATTCGCTCGGCTCAGAAGTTGCTGGAAAACAGACTTCATTAGCATGGAACATCTTTGATGAACGGTTGCTCAGGGCAACTGTTTCCACATTGATGCTGGGCCTCTAAGGACATACAGCTTGTTTAAGCGTCATTGGACACCTGTCACACAAAAATATGCACACTGGAACAAACAGAAAGGAGGAAAAAGTGGCGAGGGGGCGCTTACCGTTCACTACGACCTTGATGATCCGCAGATCAATCTCGCCGCGGGCCATGAGGCGACCCTCGCAGGTGTATAAGCCCTCATCAGTCTTCTTTATGCCGCGGATGTGGAGGTGATTGTTGCTCAGTACCTTAAAGCGAACTGAAAGAAAGCAGAACATAAAGGCATTGTTAGATGTGTCATTATATTTGGCATGTTTAAAAGAGGAACGATTTGATGATAAAGAGCTGCTGTGTCGCTGCCAACACTTTGAAGTAATGAAACTCCATATATAAAGAAAATTGTCATCGGAATTAGTTTAAATTCACTTTGATATATCTGGCTGACAACATCTTAACACTGATGTATGATTTATTCACTAATATCTCTGCTTTATTATTACAGATTAATGTTGAATTTTTGCATTTTCATCTAGCTACATTAGTCTCGAAATATGCAATACTTCTGTCTGTCTGGGGGATACTTTTACATAGAAAACTGCTCTATTTCGAAACAGATTATATGTCATTTCCACTCCTTCAAACTCATATGTAAGCAAGCCCCCAAACTCTTTTCACCAGCTCCAGAAAAGCAGGAATATGACCCACAAGAGCTCTCTAACTTGGAGATGAAAAGTGAACCCAACAAATGTAATCATGTAGTAATTCAAAATACTGTTACAACCCACACATGAGCTCGCGTTATTATTTTCCAGTGAGCAGAACCAACAATACCTAACACATTATGATATTGCTCTGTGTCACAGGTGAATAACAGAGTATGCGCTGGATTTTCAAATTCCAAACCAAATTAATTTTCCTTTCAGAGCGCAGGATCAACCCTGGAGGAGAAGGGCAACAGATGCAGGGCACGGACAATTTCAAGTCTCTAATGTCGGCAAATCTGCATTACTGTAATAGCTTGCTGTGTCACGAGCTTGTATTTTGACTAGCCTTCTTTTTTTCATAGCATACATACCAATTACAATAAATGAGTCCCATTTTGAGGTCAGACTTTTATTTTAAAATATGCTTCATGATAATTGTCATTACCCTCCATTAAATTACTTTAAAAGGTACATTTTGCACATGTTTTGAACAAATTACAGTTGATATGTGTGTCTCTGTAGTTGGTGTAAAGAAGTGGAATTATTTGCCGAATGATTTAAAGGGCTTTAAGAAAATGTTTATGTTTAAGAAAATGTTTAAAGAAAGCGTAATAAGACAGTATGAAGATGACTTTTGATTGTGTTCTGGTTTTATGTTTCAGTATTTGTAAGTAACTGTGACTGAAAGAATATTGCCTTTATTTGACTTTTTAATGGTTATTTCATTTTTTTCTAAGAAGGGGCAGGTCAAATTAGATTTTCTTCTCCCTGCTCCTTTCCACCATGAGCTATACAAAATAAAAAAACAGTATAAGTGTACATGTTTTTGTTTTAAAATAACTGCCATGTGTGGAATAAACAAATACATAAATAAATATGGGTGTGATAATACATCAAAATGATATAACTTTGATTCTTCAAATTAGAAAAAAAAGATTTTAAAGAGATCATATGCAAACCATTTAGCAAATTAGACCATGTAATCTAAATATCCAAACATATTTAGAACATTCATTAAATAATGTTTGTCAGACCTTAAAGACTGGAACCACAGCAGCTGAACACCAAATCTTGTTAAATAGAAAAATGATCCCCTTGCTGTTCAGGGAGCTCTTACCATCTTTTTCCATGTGTATCTTTGCTCCTTTATACTTCCAGAAGACAGTGGGGAGGGGCGAGCTGACGACGTCACAGATAAGGTTGGCCTGGTCTCCTTCGTTAAACTCTTGGGGTGACGGTGCGTTTGTGAAGGTGATCTTTTCTGGAATATGAGAGGAAAAACACGTTTTACTCGTATTTATTTTATCTCCTTTTAAGGATGACTGTTGTGAAGAACACTTTTGTATTCAATTATACAGATATTAGCTTTGAACGTCTTTTCAACTGGCGATAGGAAATCTTATATGATAAATAAATAAATAAATAGCCAGTCATTTTCCTGAAAACAAAAATGACTGGAGAAGTACTTGGCAATTTGACCTATCAATTCTCTTCTCAGCATATAACATTATTTTACAACCAAACTTTATTTTTGTAAAACGGTGAAGAGGACTTTCTTTATCAAGTTCCTGTCAGACAGTTCATGTGTTACCATAGCTACAGCATTTCTTATTAACAATAATTTCAAAAACCCACTAACTGGTTAATGAAGAGCTTGGCATGGCATAGAAACATGTGATAATGTTTCCTTACAAACTAGACTGACAGGAAAAGATACAGAATAACAATAAGCCTCCCGCCTATAAGCTACAGCATCTCATCAAAGCTCATCATATCAAAACGTTCTCAGCCAGTGTGCAGTTCACGTGAGCGACACGTTGTAATGTAAACAAAATCAGACCCAAAACAGTAGCTATATGAAAAAAAAAGAAAGTGCATCTACAAACTGCTGCCAAGCTTCCAGAGCTGGCAGAAGTTGTCATGTGTATACAGTATCTGCTCTGAAGATATCAGTATATTGATTATTTTAAATGTGTTAGGGTTTGATTTCTCAAGTTTCAGTTTGAAGTGCTTGAATCTAAAAGAATAACTTTTCCTTCTTAAAAAACTATTTTTCAATTTACATTTACTGAGCCAAGAAAAATGTAAATTACAAACTGAAACTGCAATCTTATTTTGCAATAGACTGTATATTGATTTTAATATGCAGTATCCACATGGCTGACCACTTGTAATAATAAGCCTAAAATAAGAAAATGAAATAACAGGAAAAGTTGTGTTTGGCAAAGGATTTCATCTCTTCTAGACATTTGCTGATGCTTGGCATTCATGGAAAATAAAAGCCATTACTCACAAGAACTGCACAACAGACAGGATCATTAAGCAGCCCTCTAATGGTCTTCCGACCGTTTATTGAACTGATGAAAAATCCCCCCTCACTTGAAAAGAGAAAGAGTAATGTGCTGCCCTTGAGCAGTCAATAAAATACTACGAGTTCAATAGACAGGACTTTTTTTCTTCTTTTGTGTTCTTGCCACTCAATAATTTGTTGAGTGCATGGGGTGAGGAAAATACTTACGGAAGATTTTCACTTTGACAGTTGCCTCTGCCTGCTTGTCTCCGTTGGTAGCGACACACTTGTATGTCCCTGCATGTTCAGTCCCAGCTTTGTAGAGGGTGAGAGTGGATGACTCATCGTTACGGCTCACAGTTACGTCTGGTCTGTTCGGCTCTATCCTGTCCCCATTTGGTCCGAACCATTCTATGTGCCTGGCGACGCCTTCGACTGAGAGCACAGTGAGGAGAATTTATAAAACTGTTATCTAACATCAGAAGGTCAGCAGTGCCCACTGACTGAACATGTGCTTTTAGCTCTTTATAAACATAAAAGTCAAATAAATAAAAAACCATACATCCATTTTTTGCCTTGACCAGATGGTGAGGACGAAAGGAAACGCACGATATTAGCAGGATATCAAGGTTAATTTGTGGTAATTGTAACACAAGAATGTGCAGCGGTATTCCCTTTTTCTACTTAAGTAAAACTTGTTTTTGAGTTGGGATGTCTAACAGCTTGAGAAAAAAAAGCTGCTCTATAGTGTGGTGGTTAAGCAGAGAAAACTTCTGTACGGCTGGGCAGACGGCAGCGAGATGAACAGGCTGTTGCTGGGGTAGATATGCTCTTTCAATATTCATCTTTGGGCTATTTGCAGCCGCCTCACCTCACTAATATCCCTGAAGCTCGGTAGACGGTATCAATGACGTTCTGGGAAGGTAGGGGGTCTCATGTAAATAAGGGGGATCATTTATAAAGATTAATAACATGTATGCTAGAGATGTGGCGATTGGCTCTGAGGCCATCCAATCCACATTAACATATAAATCATCCATTCAGCACCCAAAGAGGAATTATTTTCTCCAATTTAGAGACCTGCTCTGGCACGGACGCTGCACCTCTAACGGGTCCTGGGGGATGTGAGGGCGAGACTGTCTGCTGAATCGCGACTGAGCAGACACTATAAAGTTTAAAATATGGTCACAGATCTGTGGATAAACCGTGCTGTCTGTGGTAATTGCAATACGCACACCACTTATCCTAGTATCCTTAATAATCAGGGTGTACAAATGATTTTTTTAATATGGCTTTGTAATGTGTTTATACAATAATAATACTAGTGCTTGGAAATGTTAAGTACTTGTACTAGTACTTCATGTTTAATTATTTGTATTTTGTCTACGTAACAGTTATCTATGTTGCAAATATACAAAGTAGGACAACTGTTTTTGTTTAAGAAAAATGAATTTGAAATATGAAGAAACATTTTTATTAAATAAGATTATAAACAAAAGAAAAACACATTTGTCTTTTGGCATTTTGCATGCTTTCCTCTTCTTTCTTCTCTCACTGTAAGCTCTACATCAGGGCTATTCAATTAGTTTGGAATGGGGGCCGGTTGATGAAAATGATCCAAAGCAAGGGGCCGGGAAAAAGATGGCTTAAAATATGAGCAATCATATTTAAGAGCTTCAGATACAGTAAATACTACAACAGCATAGTGGAGTGCATATATTGTGTTTAATTCAATCAAACAACATAGCCCCAAGGCCTTTATAGATCTAAATGGCAAGTTCAGAACTCAGTAGGCCTACATGTTTCATTTGATTTCATTTAGGTGAAATGATCTAATCATTCACGCAGAGATGCAATCAATGACAGGAGTTGTCACTACAGTATAGTAGGTGGGTTCGAAACCCGAGCCCGTCGAAGTTTTCAGGCATTGTCTACCCCTCTATCTCTCAATGTAACACCCTCTCTGGAATAAAGGCACTATGGCACAAAAAAAAAAAAAAAAAAAGATCTTAAAAAAAAAAAAATTGATGACTTTTTAACATTATACTCAAAGGGCCAGTAAATATCACCCCGGGGCCGGATTTGGCCCGCGGGCCGCCAATTGAATAGCCCTGCTCTACAGTATCTTTACAATATGTATGATGTATGAATGTAAAATGTGACATGTTGGATGCAGGTGTGTGTTTACCGTGTGAGAGTTTAGTGAACTTACCTTCACACATGAAGAACTTGGACTCTCCGAGACTAATCTCTCCATGAGTCGGCACGATCTGCACTTCCAGTGAAACTTTAAACGAGAAAACACAAAATCAGACACTTAATTAGCAACACAATAAATGAAGTACGAAATACAGTATAGACATTATTACAGTGTGACATCGAAAGGCAAGGAAGGAATTAGCTACCTGCAGGCGATCAGTGCTACAAGAGCAGTTTCATTTCCTACACGATCAGTCAATTACTGATAAGAGTATGTTATGTTGGCCTAACACTTGGAGATTCATTATATACTTTACTCCTCACAGTCACAAGCTGATTTGTATTCTTATTTGATTATATTACACCAACTAGAGACCGCTGTGAGTCAAATTTTGTTGAATATATTTTGGTATTAAATATTTCATTTAAAGTGAACAGTTGGTACAAGTAGTAAATGTCAAACTTTAAACCGACAATCAGCAGATTAGAGGAAATTGAAGAATCAAGCTGTGATTAATTCCCTACAGGAAGCCCAAAAGTCAGGATTACATCTTTTAAACTACATTTGGGAAAAGGCATCAGGTACTTGGAGCCAGTGGAAAGTAAAGCATGCACATCAAGAAAATTGACCTTGTTAGTTTTAGCACCAGAAGCAATATTACCAGAAAAACCCCCCAACATTTCCTGTTCCTTTTTAGCCTGCAGTGTTCCTGTCCTTTAGAGAGAATAACATCCAGCCAGCACTGCAATTATTCAGTCAACACTCAGCAGTGGGTACGAACCAGTGCTGTGCTGCCAATGTACATGAGAGAAAAAACATTTAAGATGCTTAAAAAACTCTTAGAAATCATGCTGTCTGTCTAACAAGATAAACGCAGCGCGCCTCCCAGAGCCTTCACTTCAGGAAAGACCGGAAGGAAAAGACAGATTTGTGACACAGAAGTAATGCCTGAAACATCTCTGTGCTTAGCTAGAACAAAGCTTCACTTGTTTCCTGCAGAATCAGCAGTCAAGGATTCCTGTGGTGTGACTAAGAAGTGTGACTAAATGAGCCCAAAACACATAAAACTTAATTAGCCACAGCTAGTTAGAAAATGGCAAAGAAAATATTATTGCAGAGCTCAAGTTAAGGAATATCAATTGCTTGTTTTTTTTCTAATGGTTTAACATTTTAAAAGATAAAGTAAACCGGCATTAAATTCACATTAGAGAAGCTGGAAAAACTATTGAACTTTGGGGACCTTTGCTTAAAACAGGGGTGTCCAAACTACGGCCCGGGGGCCAAATGCGGCCCGCGGACAATTTTGAATCGGCCCTCAGCAAATTCTAAAAGTATAATGGAATATGGCCCACAAATTAGATTCGATTCGATTAGATAGAACTTTATTAATCCCGAAGGAAATTCTTTTTGCCAGGTTGCTCCAAAATTACAATACAGATACATCTTAATAAAAGTATGCAATATACAATAGCTCAATATACTATATACAAAGTTTTAAAGTAACGTATTACAGTGCCCCAGTAGAGAATAGGTAGCAGCCTGTGACAGTGACAAGTCATTGGTGACAAGCAGTGTTTCCGCCAGACCAGGGCTGAGAGGGCGTCCACCCCGAGAGCCGGGGGTGTGACGTCACGTCGTGTCACGTCGTGTCATGTCGTGTCACGTCGTGTCACGTGACTTGAATTTTGAATTGAGCCGTCCCTTATAGATACTATCTCTTTACGTATGCACACACACACACAATTTTGAATTGCGCCGTCCCTTATACTATCTCTTTACGTCTCCCTGCCGACAGGGACACCCCTCCTGGCATGGTCCTTGGAAGATGCGGCAGTGTTTTTATTTTTTTCGTCACAGGAACACGCTTTGCTGGTGGCGAAAAGAATCCCACCAGACTCCTTTGCCCCTCCAACAGAGGGATGTCCTTGTCCTTTTCCTTTTCGTCATTTCAAGCGATAAAAACTCTCGATCTTCTCTCAAATTGTTTATTTTTTTGGACGCCCTCGGCTCGAGTTCAGGGCGTTCCGAGATGAATAAGGGCGTCAAATGACGCCAAGACGCACCCCTGGCGGAAACACTGGTGACAAGTCATATTGCACATTCAAGTAAAATACTAAATATCAAATACCAAAAACAACTAATAATAATTGCTCATTTCTCATCGTACTAAATAAAATTATTTTAAATATTAAATATAAAAACTGCAAATGTTATGAGATTATGACATTAACCTAATATTTCACATGGTGTTATAGTTTAATTATCCTTCCAGAAGGAGGAGTTATAAAGTTTGATGGCCACAGGAAGAAAAGACCTCCTGTGGCGTTCTTTGGTGCTCCTCGGTGCTTGCAGTCTAAAGGTGCTCTGATAGGCCTCCAGAGTGGCATGCACGGGGTGAGAGTGATTGTCCATGATGCTGAGCAGTTTCCTCAGCATCCTCCTCTCTGACACCTCTAGCAAAGGTTCAAGCTCTACTCCCAGGACCGAACCAGCTTTCCTGATGAGCTTATTGAGTCTATTGGCGCCTGCTGCCCCAGCACACTACCACGTACAATATGACGCTTGCTACCACCGAGTCATAGAACATCTGCAGCATGGTTCTGCAGACATTGAAAGATCTGAGTCTCCTTAGGAAATACAAACGACTCTGACCTTTCTTGTACACTGCGTCTGTTTTATTAGTCCAGTCCAACTTATTGTCTATATATAGACGCCCAGGTACTTGTAGTGATCCACGATTTCTACCTCTGTTCCATTGATGGTGACTGAGGTCGGGAGGGTCTTCTGTTTCCTAAAATCCACCACCAACTCCTTGGTTTTTGTGACGTTGAGTTGCAGGTGGTTTAGTCCACACCACTCCACAAACCTGTCCACCACACTCCTGTACTCAGCCTCCTGATCCCTCTTGATGCAGCCCACGATGGTAGAGTCGTCTGAAAACTTCTGCAGGTGACAGGACTGTGATAGGGATCTGAAGTCAGAGGTGTATATTGTGAACAGGAAGGGAGACAGGACCGTCCCCTGTGGTGCCCCCGTACTGCACAATAGGGTGTCCGAAACTATGTCCCGTAGCCTGATATACTGTGGGCGACATGTGAGGTAGTGAAGCATCTACCTGCATGTCCAGAAGCTTTTTCGCTGAGCAGGGCATATAGTGTTGAAAGCACTGGAGAAGTAAAAAAACATGACTCTCACAGTGCTGCCTGCCTCTTCCAGGTGTGTATAGGCTCTGTGCAGAAGGAAGATGATAGCGTCTTCCACTCCAATATGGGGCTGATAGGCGAACTGCAGGGGGTCCAATAGTGTCTCGTCGACTATCCGGAGGTGTGTCAGGACGAGCCTCTCCAGTGACTTCATGACGTGCGAAGTCAGAGCCACTGGTCTATAGTCACTGTGTGTTTTGGGATGCATATTCTTGGGCACAGGAACCAGACATGAGGTTTTCCATCGGTTGGAAATGAAACGATGAAATTAAACTTGTGCTTGTCTTATATTGTACTTCTTAAATAAAAATGTAAAAATAAATTACACGGTAGTATTCATGTGTTCATAAGACCACTTTTCAAATAAATTCAGTCAATTAAAGTTGGAAACATGTTCTAACATATCTTAGTTGATGAGAAAAAAGCCCAGTGACTTATTTACATAACAAACTTGAAATACACCCTTCCTATTTCTCCTTATTATAATCACTCTGAGGCTTCTGTTTTAAGGGATGAGCTGCCAACACTCACAAGCATCATTTACCTACATTTGATTAATTTGGCTAACTTGTAACTGAACTTACAGTATGAGGCAATATACCTCTGTTGAGTGGCCCAGCCCTTCGTATATTTTTCTGTATGTGGCCCAGAGTTTCCAATAGCCGCTAATTACCGGACGTTGACCGGTAAAATATGCTGAAGACCGGCAAATCTAAATCTCTCCGGTCAAAATGTCCGGTCAAAATAATTTCCCCTTAGCACAATACCGCATCAGTTGCGCCACTTATGTGACAGACAAGAAGAGTATGTGACAGACAAGAATAGTCAATTCTAATGTCTAACATTTAATGTGGAGAAAGAGATGTCCTGTATGGGTTGATTGTGCGTTGATCTGTTGGTAATGCCTCGGGGTTCCGGTGGGCATGTAAACAAATGCATAACACTGCGCTATACTTTGCGGCCTCACCTGATTGCATAGCGACGCTTATTGTTTAGGCAAGGCAAGGCAAGTTTATTTATATAGCACCTTTCAACACAAGGCAATTCAAGGTGCTTTACAAAAATGAAAGACATTCAGACAAAGGCATTTAAAAACAGTCATTAAAAAGAAAAGATAATAAAAGAAACATTAAAAGAAAAAATACATGAAAAAGTTACAGTGCAGTTTAAGATATCAATAGTTCAATTAAAAGCAGCGGCAAAAAGATAAGTCTTCAGCCTGGATTTAAAAGTAGTAAGAGTTGTAGTGGACCTGCAGGTTTCTGGGAGTTTGTTCCAGATATTTGGAGCATAATAACTGAACGCTGCTTTACCATGTTTAGTTCTGACTCTGGGGACAGAGATACATGATTGTAGTTATTGATACTGAAAGGCTAAACCTGAACATAACAAAGGTCTAGATTAAAAATTATAAAACGTTTAGGCATCTTTATTGATTCTCTATTCTTGTTTTGGTGATGTCACTGTTTATCAATGTGGGATCAATGAGAGGTGAAAAATACTGAGACACCTGTTCATTATACCAAAAACTGAATGCACCAAATTGTTAACTCCATCTTCCAGAGAGGTATTGTGAAGGGTATGATCCTCATCCAATCAGAGCAGCAGTGTTCGGTCGACACTGATTGCAGGCTTTTTAAATGACTGTCGTTTGCACTGTCTGCTGTCAGATTATCCTCATTTTAGTCAATTTAACAAAAGCTCTTTTATTGGCATGACAGCTATTCGGTTGGATTATTCTTAAATAAGTCAATTTGTTTCATTTTTTTCAGTAGGGTTTGATATAGTGAAAGAACATGAAAACCAGGCGTCAATTAATACTTTTTCTCAAATGAACTGCTTACTAAAACAATAGTATGGTAATTTTCAAGATAAGGATTTTGT